CCGTTATTTTAAATGGACTTTTTCTTTCTATCTCTTGTTGCTGGCCTTTGTTAGTAATATATAGAAATGCCAATGATTTATGTGGGTTTATTTTATATCCTGCAACTTTGCTGAAGTTAATTGTTTCAAGTAGGTTTTTAATTGATTCTCTAGGATTCTCTAAGTATACTATCATATCATCTGCAGAGTGATAGCTTCATTTCTTGATTGATTATTTTAATTCCTTTAATGTCTTTTTCTTCTCTTATTGCTAAAGCTAACATTTCTAGTACAACATTGAATAATAGTGGTGATAATGGAGGTCCTTATTTCACCCCTGATTTTATTGGGAATGCTTCTAGCTTATTCCCATTACATATAATGCTTGCTGATGGTTTTCCATAGCCACTACTAATCATTTTAAGGAAAACTCCATTTATTCCTATGCTCTCTTATGTTTTTAATAGGAAAGGGTGCTGTATTTGGTCAAAAGCTTTTTCTACATCTATTGAGATGATCATATGATTTCTGTTAATTTTGTTATTGATGTGGTCAGTTATGCTGATAGCTTTTCTAATACTGAACTAGCCCTGCATTCCTGATATAAATCCAACGTGGCCATATTGTATTATCCTTATGATAAGTTGCTGTAATCTCTTCGCTAATATTTTATTTAAATTTTGCATCAATATTCATTAGGTTCTCCTGGCTATGTGAAGGCACATGGGGGAGTCCTGGGGTTGGCATTTGCCTGCTCCACCACCCTGGGGCTCGGGATCTCCTGTTTGTTTGTTGAGGTGGGACTTGGTGCTGGCTTGCTGGGACACTTCTTGTCTTGGAATGCGCTCTCCTTTTACCTGAGTGAGATCAATCTTTCTGTTCCAGGATTTGTTGTGGGTTGCTATTTTATGGTTTTTCCAGGGTGAATATGGGAGAGCAACAGCAATTTCCTGCTTACTTCGTCATCTTGGCTTCCAGAAGTCCCAAGCATCCTAAAGAGAATTCTTTCAAAGTGTGTTGATATTTCTGTTGGGTTTTGAAAGCTCCTTCATGATATTTTTATATGTTCAGACAGAAGCCTGTTGACGTTTGTAATAGACTTCCTTCATGAGGAGGAGCGAAGAGTTATGTTGGACTGTGTGCTCAGCCCAAATTTCTGTGCTTCTCCTTCCCTCTTTTCCCATGTACATCTGGGTCAGTGGTTAGAGATTGTGAGTCACTTAACAAGTACCTATCATATTCCATAGAATATGCATCTGTGCCCTAAGATTTAATTGGTGCTTGGTTTTGCATATAAAGATGATACTAGTAGTCAGTTTTTTTCAGGAGTGAAGACATGTTTTCATTTATTTCAGCTGTGCTCGTTCATCTAGTCCCATTGTGAACATATGTTTGCAGGATATGTGGTTTGAGTTAGGGCATCCAGGACAAACTGGCCCAAATGCAGATGGAACCCACTACTTTAGTTCAGTGCTCCAACCAGCTGAGCTTGCCAGTTTTGCACCTGCCGTTATACAGTTTATTGTCTAATAGATTGGATCATATAAAGCAGAGTGTAATAAAAAAAACAGAGGCCAAATTCCATTACACATATCAACCTAACAACAACCAAAAAACTCAACTGAAAAGACTCCTAAGCCCCAGCACACATTTAGTTCAAATAATATCTGATAGAAAAAAATTCTAGTACAGGAGAAGAATTGGGATCGTTCCTTGGATTTTGTTGAAATGGGATCTGACAGGTGTGCATATTAGTCAACTCTAAATTGTTCGTGAATTACATAATTTGTGGATTATCTCTAGCAAATTTTTAATCCCAAATTTGCTTCGTTTTATCTTCTTGGTTTCCCTTGGGGTTAGCTAGAAATTCTCAAATATTGGCATAAATGAGCTGTGAGGGTAACGGAAGGAACAACTACATGCCAAAAATAAATATAACAAATTTTAAGTAACTTACCTAAGTATACTGCTCTCCAAATCCAAATATCATTTTTTGCGTATATACAATTCTGCCTCATTTGACACACATTTCCCTTTTATTAACCCCACTACCGCGAGTATAGATCTATTTGAAGATGATTTTGATATGACTTCTTTGTCGAGTTTCTCTATCTTATATCATCAAATAGAATAAACATTCCCTCAGAAAGGAAAAATATTTTGACCCCAGAGACTTTCAGTAAAGAAATTAACATCTTTTGCCACAACAGGAGTACCGGAAACTCACTAAATTAATAGCTATAAATAGCAACTCAGTCAGGGCCTCATCCCTGTCCCTGGGTGTATCAACATGTTGCTACCAGGTAATTGTCTTGTTGCTCTGCCCCCATTTCAAGGGAAAGCATTGAAGGTTTTTCATTTCTTGGTTCAGCCAGGAAAGCAACATCATCTAGGATATGGGAATGAAGTGTGGGATATGCAGAGGAATGGAGGCTTATGGGGAAAGCTATTACTGCACTAAGAGGAGAAAGTTTTATGGGGGCTAGGTGGGATCCATCTCCCCCTCCAGGGTTCTCCCAACAGAGACAGTGGGACACGATACCCCTGCTTTGTGCTAGTGGGACTTTTGACTTTTTGAAAAAAGAGAGTTAAAGACTAAGAAAGAAGGAAGGGGTGAGGGGGAAGAGAAAACAAGCCCTAGGTGCCAAGGGGGCACAGATAAGTTTGGGAGCAAGGAAGTAGGTTGTTTTTGTTTTTTCCCTAAAAAATTATAAATCCCTGTTAGAAGGAAATGTTTGAGGTGAGACGTCAGCGTATTCCAGGAATGTCAGCTGTCAGTAACTCAGGAGCCAAGTTGTAGTGTTATGTAAATACCCGTTCTTTGCTTTTTGGCTAATCGTTTGCTCATGTGTACATTATCTGGGTTCCTGGGTCCCAAATTTTTTTGATCACATACCCCATCACTGTAAGTGTTTGTACATGTACCTCTAATACCTGTATATTCATTTATAAATTATACATATATACTAATGTACTTGTGTATGTCATACAAATATAGAAATTACAAAAGGATAAGAAAAAATGAGATAAACCATATTTAAATTTTTTAAATTTTACTTATCAATGGTACAAAAAATCTTTTTGCTTTCACTAAAATATGAGAACAATATAGTTTTTGGAAGGTCTGGTTTTAAGTTTATTGCTGAGCAACCTGGATAGATATAACCAATATAAAAGTTTTCTGGGGGTACCTCAATGATTTTTAAGTGTAAAGGTTCCTGAGATCAAAAGTTTGACGATTGCTGATTTAAGTGAACAGAATTCCTGTGGTCATCCTTTCCCTCTTTTATGGATTATGCCTTGATTTCCACAATTGCTGTCATGATGGGATTGTTCAAGGAGTAGGTAGGAGGAGAGGAGGATAATAGGAATGAGGGGGATAGCAGGGATGAGTAGGTGGTTAATGTTGGTGGGAAGACTGCTTATCTCCATAGAAGTTGTTCCCCTGGATGTTATTGGCTGGGGGAGAAAGAGGCTAAAGAAGGCTGAGGCCCTGGGTTCAAGGCAACATCTTGGTTAATCTCAGGGATCTTGGGTGTAGAATCTGCCTTACCTTCACCGGAGTGTTAGGGGAGGTGATGGCTGAGGTGATAATAGGTTGGACAGGAGATATAATGTCTCCTGTATCCCTCAGGTTGAACTGTTCTTTCAGTTAGTTTGGCTTGCCTAGCTGTTTGTGGTAGTTGATGATGATGGGGGGCTAGAGAGTAACTTAAATTCAGGCTCTCCTAATCTTCTCTCATCTGGTCTGTAATGGAAAATGGGTTGTTATGATAATTCAGCCATTAGTCCAGAGGACTTATGATGAAGCATGCTGCTTTCCTCCTGATAGAGAGGTAGGTGATGGACTAAGAATGCCAAAGTAAGTTTTTTTGGTCTTTTCTGTTTTTTACCCCCTGTATCCCTTCCCCTCCCAGAGAGCCATTCCATATAACAAATAAGGTTTTTTTAGAGGGAGGAAAAAAAACTTAACGTAACTGATCAGTACATTGAAAAAGTCTGAAAATATAGCACCTGTGAACCTCCCATCTCCATGAAGGAGGTAGGTTGGGGCTTTCTCCTCATATCTCTTAATTTGAGTCATGTTTGATCCTTGTAATTTTGTTATATTTATTTTTGATTTTTGGTGTGGAGTTCTTTCCATTTACATCGTTCTCATTACTGTGTATATGATTTTCTTGCTTCTGCTTCCTTTGCTCTGCATCAGTTCATATATATCTTTCCATGTTTCTCTGTCTTCATCACACACATCATTTCTTACGGCCCAGTCGTATTCCATTATGTTCATGTACCACAGTTCGTTTAGTCATTCCTCTAGTTGATGGGCATCTGCTTTGTTTCCAGTGTTTAGCTATCACAAAAAAAAGTCATGCTATAAATATTTTGCATGTGAGGACTTTCTTCCTGTTGATGGGGTGTAAACTTAGTAATGGAGTCTCTGGTTCAAAGGGTATGGATATTTTAATTACTTTATTTGCGTAATTTCAAATTGTTTTCCAAAATGGTTGTACTGTTTCACAGCTCCATCAATATATTAGTGCTCATTATTCCACAACCTCTCCAGCATTGACTATTGCTACTTTTGTGGTCATTTTTACCAATTTGCAGGATGTGAGGTAAAACCTGTGAGACACACACACATCTAATTATTTATTTTTATTTTTTTTTTAGTGTAGCCAGTATAGGAATTTGTTTTGCTTGATTATATATGTTTATAACAGGAATTTTATTTTTCTTGCTTTCTCAGTGGGGAGAAAAGAGGGAAGGGAAGCAAGAGAAAAAGGTGACTTTTTTTTCTTTTTAGGCAGTTAGGGTTAAGTGACTTGCCCAGGGTCACACAGCTAGTAAGTGTCTAGTGTTTGGTCTGAGGCTGGATTTGAACTCAGGTCCTCCTGACTTCAGGGCCAGTGCGCTATCCACTGTGCTACCTAGCTGCCCCCTGAAAAAGGTGACTTTTCAGAGAATAAATTGTTATGGAGCGAGGAAAATGTCTAAAATAATTCACTTTCTATTGGGGACAGGTTTGAAGAACTACTCACAAACTTGCCTAATAAGCAAAATCATGTCATAAATGAGTTGGTGGCACACTTAGTGATCAAGAAGTCTTTACCTAAGCAGAAGCAGGAAGCCCAGAAGGCCAAACCAGAAATGTCCAAGCCCCAGGGTGATAACGCCATGCCCACAATGGTTCTGGATGCAGCTCAAAGGAATAGACTTCAGCAACAGATGCAGCAGGTGAGATTCCTCTTACAGGGGGATATTTGGTCCCCATGGAGCCTGAGGCCAGAAAGAGACTTCTTCGTATCAATAAAAACTAAGTCATAGCTTCTTTGGGAAGGGATCTCCAAAGATCGTGATGGATGATATGCCAAATATACTTATAGTCTTCAGTACAGGGTAACAAGACATCCGTCTATAACACGCCGTAGGACCTAACAGCCCTCACAGAGCAGGGGGAGTTTTTCGTTAGATACAATCTAAATTCCTCATGCTCGTTTCTTCTGCTCTTATATCTGATAAGTTCAAGTTAAGGAAGTGTGTTAAAACTGATCAGTATCCTCCAAAGGAAACACGGTGTTTGGATTAAAGTTGCAAACACCTAGGTAAAATCTACCTAGGTTCCTGAAACAGTAACACCTTCCATGTCTCTGATGTATTTTGTCTTTTTTTTTCTCCCTCCCCAGCATGTTCAGCTCCTGACTCAGATTCACCTTCTGGCCAGCACCAACCCCAGCCTCAGTTCGGAGGCCAGTACCACCAAGATGTTTCTTGTAAGGCCCTGTTTATACATGAGTCTGAAAGTGAAAGTGCGAAATCAGCTTGGCAAATAGTTTTCCAAATCTCTCATCCTACATGATTTACATCGAACCCTTCATTTACATTAACCAGTTCTTCTTGATCTTCATTTTAGCTGTTTTTACCTTTTCTTCCTATTTCTTCCCATATTGGCTAAGAGTTCATAGGCATTTGCTTACTGCCTTTTTCCTCCCATGACATCAGGTTCCTATGAAAGGACAGAATATATTGTTTCCACCACCTCATTGATGTCCATTAGTTCTGCTTAATTTTGTGTAGGTATGCTGGTTTGTTTGTTTGTTTTTTTCATATCTTAGCATGCACAGTCTTTTCAAAGCAACATTTACCATTAGTGATTTATATACCAATCTTATTTTGCACAATGTAAAAAATAGCATGATGAAGGGAGTGAATTAAAGGAAGAGGTAGAACTTTAAATCCTGAACTTTCTTCCATTATAAAATTGTCCTTGAGGTTGGTAACAGGGGTTTGGTGAACTATTTTGTAGATATAGGCATTTGAATGATAAAGTTGGTGCTAGCCCTTTAATTGTATCCATGGCAATATTTGAGTGCCTGTTTTCAAAGTGCTTTACACACACTCTCATTTGAGCCTCACAACAGCCTTAAAAAGGTAGGTGGTATTATTTTCCTTATTTTGCAGATGAAGAAACTGAGGCTTAGGTAAAGTGCCTTTTCTACAATCATAGTGCTTGTAAATGTCTGAGGTAGGATTTGAACCTAGGTCTTCCTAAATCCAATTTCAGTGTTCTAACCAGTATTACATCTTGTAGTCCTACTTCTCAAATAACTTATGGTCTAATTTGGAAGAGAACACACGTAAAAAAAAAGACATACATTTTCAGTATAACATATGTACAAATGAAAATAAGTGAATATAGTATGAACAGGAAGCGTATGTACTTCTAGCATTTTGACTAAAGGAGGAATTAGAATGGATTGAGACTTATTAGGAAATACTTTCTTAAAGAGGCTCTAAATAGAATTTGTTTTGCCACTGAAATACTATTTTTCTCTACCTTATAACCCTTCCCTGTAAGTAGGAAGAGTTTCTTGACCAGGTATATGGGTTGCATGGTATTCCTTATGTATTTCTGTGACATAGCTTAACTGTTGTGTTCAATGTTTTCCCAGAAGGAACTGGGGACCTTTGCTCAAAGCTCTGTTGCCCTTCACCAGCAATTCAATCCCAAGTTTCAGACCACATTCCAGCCTTGTAACCTGAAGGGTGCTATACAGCTCATTGAAGACTTTCACTCACATGTCAACATTGACTTGAGCCCTCGAAAAAATGTCCAGAAGAGTGGTGAAGGACTAAGCCCTGAATATCCAAGTACGGTTCTGAGTGTGTGGTGATGCTGGTCTGTTTGGGGAACTTGTCAGATGTGACCAGGGCTGGTGCTTTACGTTCTGTCCTCTTTTGTCTTTCTCCTTTGGGATTCTTCCACATCTTTTATATAGTTTGGATGGTTTAAGCCAGGAAGAGAACATGGGTAGGTGACAATGGAGGATGTATATGGGGGAAAAGAAATTAGTTTCCAAAGTGGAGATAGAGACGGGAATAAGATTAAGTATAAGAGTTGGGGCAACGAGAATATATGTCCAATAAGTGAGTGTATGTGAATCTGGGAATTTTTCAGGTCTCTATAATGTATAATCTACATTGAGTTCATCTGAATGCGTGTCTAATAAGAATCTTAATTTATATAATGAATTTATATTTCAAAGCACCCATCTTTTTCACACATCTTTGCAAGGCAAGTGGATGTCCATTTTGCAAATAGATAAACTGGGACATAGGGACTAAGTAATTTTGTTTGGTCTGTGTAGTTAGTACTGATGGAACTAGGGCTAGAGCCCAAGTTCCCCGAATCCTGGTACAGGGTTCTTTCCAGTAACTTAGATGAAATGAAATGTGAATTCAGGTCAGATTTAGTTCTCATGTGACTGTTTTCATAGTGCTGTGTTATTACATCAAGGACCTGTGATTCCACTGGGTGTAGGCCCTTTTTTCACCTGTGAAGATTACAGCCTATCTATATTCTTAAAGAGCGTTAAGTAACTTGCCTCTGGCTTCTCACTCAGTGAGAGTCAGGTCTTTGGACCTACCAGATCATCTGGCTCTCTGAACCCTGCCACTCATCACAAGTTGTATAAAACATAAAGTAACAGGTTTAGTTCTGGTTTGCATTGGTTTACTAGTTACTTTTTTGGGTGGGGTTGGGGAATAGAGCTTTGATTTGGCTTACTGTTTGCTAAAAATAAACATGTACATTAAATTTGGACCAGGATCAATATGATTTGGTCCGTACCTTTGTTTATAGTTTGGTCTGAGTCAAAGCCCTTGATTCTTTTCATTAAAATAAAGTGCGTGAAGGGCATACACTCATCAAGATATTCTGTTTCAGAAGTCCTTCATTGAGAGTTCACTGATGCCCATTCAAAGGTGGTATCCTGCATTATTTCTAGAGCCAAAATAATTTTTCTTCTGGAGACTTTGAAGCATTTTATAGAAGAAGAAATAAATTCAGCAGATCTGTCCAGAATAACAGTGACATTTAGAAGTGAACAGGCATTTGAGGGACTTCAGTTGTTTTGGGTCCTCTCAGGATTTTGTAGTTACAGCTTATAAGGGACACAGCTTGGTATGACAGTCAAACAGAGAGCAATGGAATATAGGAACTATGAAAAAGAAAGGTTTAAAAAATGGAGACCTTTTATTTTGGAGAAGGCTCTAGGGAAGTGGAGCGAAGTAGAGTACATTTATATATGAGAGATGGGGGGGCAGGTGTGTAACTTGTCCTTCAAAGATGTGATGAGCAATTATTTGGAAAATCGGGCCAATTGATTTTCACTTCAGAGGAAATGAGGAGACTTGAGTTGATGTCTAGGGCTGGAGGAAGGATCTGAAGGATCCAGTAAGTTTCCAGATCTTGCTGTTTTCTGCCTCCTTAACATCTTTCGCATGTAAGCCCTTTTCTCACGTAGCCATCACTCTTAGTTAGCCCCTCATCGTTTTTTGCCTCCTATTTAGTCTCTCTGTCTCAAGTCTCCTCACTCCAGTCCAGCCTCCACAGAGGGGCCGAAATTTTCCTTAAGAGTAGCTTTGACCATGTCACTCCCTTACCCAGTAAATTCCAGTGGCTTCTGGTTGCCGCTAGAATAAAATATAAACTCCTCTGTTTGGTATTTAAAGTTTTTCAAAAACCAATCCGATCCTGTCTTTCTAGCTATATTAATGTTAGATCAGGGATTCTTAACTTGTGGTCTATGAACTTGTTTTTAAAATATTTTGATAACTGTAATTCGGTATTAATTGATTTCCTTTGTAATCCCCTGTATTTTAAAAATGTTATTCATCAAACTGCCAAATGGGCCTATGACACAAAAAGGCTAAAACCCTTGTAAATAGACATTACTGCCCTTCCTGCACTCTCTGGTTCTGGTCAAAGGGAAGTATTTGTTTCACACACATCAACTCCATCTTCTGGATCTGTGTCTTTGCCCTGGCTATCTCCCATACTTGGAATATATTGTCTTATCACCCCCACTTCACAGAATTCCTGTCTTTCTACATGAAGCCTTTCCTGATCCTACCCCTCTTCTTTCCCCCAGGCAACACTAATTTCTTCCATAACAACTTTGCATTTAACTTATTAAAATTTTATTCTTTAAATCTCAACGTATTTGTTCTGTACATACTTAATAAATGTACCTGTTGTTTCTCTTAAGGGAAATATAAGCTCCTTAAGACTTAAAAAAAAACCCATCAGTATCTCCAGTGCCTAGCATAATGCTTGGCATATAGTAGACACTTAATAAAAAATGCTTGTTGATTGATTCCACAGTCTTCTGTGATTGCTTATTCTAAAGAATATTGTATATGATTTAAAGACAACTTGGGCTGAAGAATGCAAAGAGATGTACTAGTGATCCCTGAGCCCTTATAGTTCCAGCGTTCTGTGAACCATAGATTTTTCTTACAGCCAGCGAATTTCCTTGTCTGCCTAAGCAAGTGGCCTGGATTATGGCCACAAGCAAGGTCTTCATGTATCCAGAGCTGCTACCAATACGTTCCCTAAAGGTGAAGCATCCCAGGGATAAGATATTCTTCACCAAAGCAGAAGACAAGTAGGTATTCAATGTTAGGAAGAAGGAAAAATCAGAAAACAGGAAGGAGTCACAGGCTCTTCCCTTGGGGAACAGCCAATTTAATGGGGCAGATGGGACATAAACAATATGGCAGACCACCAGTAACAGAGAATTAAGTGCAGAAAAACTGGTTGGACAGAGCTTTAGCCATCAGTCGTTGGTGGCTGGGGACAGAGAGGGTATCATAGAACTGGGTTGGGGGGAGGGATGGAAATGAGTCTGGGAAGTTGGGAGAAGTATTTGGAAGGAGGGGCAAGGCCAGTTTTTGAATCTGTGCATCTTTTTCAGTTTATTAGCTTTGGGACTGAAACATTTTGAAGGGACTGAGTTTCCAAAGCCTCTAATCAGTAAATACCTCCTGACTGCCAAGTCTGCTCACCAGCTGACAGTGAGAATCAAGAATCTCAACATTAGCCGGGCTCCTGACAATATCATTAAAGTGAGCCATCCCTTCTTTATCCTTTTCACCTCTATCCCAACCTCTCTGCCTTTTGTGGGAAAGGATAGTTTTGCTTGATAGAATGTAGAATTGAGGACCCTAAGTTTTAAGTTGAATTCCCTTGTTTTGAAGCATTGTGTTAAACTTTGCCATTATGTACCTCCCTTTCTCCCTCCCATGTGTACAGGGTGTGCCCAGGGTGAGGGGCAGTGGGGTGCCCTTCTCTTGAATGTTTGCCTTGTTACTGCACTTTCCCATGGGGAATTGAGCAGGACTTGAGCAGTGTAACGGCTTCATCTTCATTTCCTCTATTACTTCCCCTTCCCTCTCCTCTCCCCAGCTGAGTCTAGGGGACGTTGGAACAAGGGTGGGATCGTGCTAATTGAAGCATTAACTCTGCCTGAATGCAGAAATCCCCAACTTGACATGTGTGTGAATCCTATGTTTGCTTGCATCCATAGGAAAAGGAAATGACCTTAATTTCCCATGTGTTACTACCTTCCCTTTTCCCCCTCCCAACTCCAACCTGGCTTATAACATGAGGATTATTACTCATGTTTGTTCTTTGTTCTCAGTATTATAAGAAGACGAAGCAGCTGCCAATATTGTTTAAGTGCTGTGAGGAGCTTCAGCCTGATCAGTGGAAGCCACCTGTGGAGAGGGAAGAGCGACATCTTCCATTCTGGTTAAAGGTACAGTCCTTATTGTTCCTAGAAAGACCTACAGAAAACCAGAGATATCACGGAAAACTCACTGCAAGAGACTTAGAGGGTCTAGTTCAACTCTGCAAGGCAGCAGTCATAGAATTGGGCTGCAAGAAAGCTTAAGAAATATTCTGATCTACCCTGAACTTCTAACTAAGTGAAAATCTCTTTTATGTTGGAAGTGCCTTACAGAGATGACACGATTTCATTTTGCTTCTAGCATAACTGGATATAAAACTGGGTGTTTCAAGAAAGAAATTCTTTCTAAGCTTAGTAACCATGAATAAAAACACCTTCAAATAGTCAAACAAGAATAAAAATGATCACATGTGAAACAGTAAACTCCATTATTTATGGTTTGTTAAATATGAATATTGTTTAAACCATAAGATAACACATTTCTTTTTAGCTTTCCTGGTCCCTTCAGAACTTATTTTCCTGATTTTGATACAGTAAAATTCTAGTTTTCTGTGGGAAGGTTTTCAGGACTTGGGGAAGGAAAAAGTGTCTAGAATACAGTTAGAATCTTTATTTAGGGAGTACACTCAGTAGAAATTTGTCAGTGGAGGAGGAAGAAATGTCTTTTTATTTTAGAGAGAGGCCTTAAAGTTTCACAAGGAGTATCAGATTCCTGAGAGCCTCCTTATTTCTCCTCAACCCTAATAAATAACCAGAGTGCTTGACTGCCCCACAGGCCAGTTTGCCAGCTATCCAGGAGGAAATACAGCACCTAGCTAATGATGGTGGAGAATCAGGAAATGTGTCTGGATCAGCTGAGACGAGTTCTGACCCAGGTCTGGAGTCAGGGAATGATAGCCGATACCCCCTGCTGTTGCCCAAGAGCGTGGTGCTGACATTGAAACCACTTGCCAAACGGTTTTCATCTAGGAGGATTTGGAGGCAGAGGTCGTCAGTCCTGAAACCCCTCCTCATCCGCCCTGCTCCTTCTCTCCAACCTTGCTCCAATGATAACGCTCAAGTCAGATTAGCCCAGTCAGAAGCACCTCCAAGGAAAGTGGAGCTCCCAGACTCCCCGCTGAGCCAGCCAGCCACTGCCTCACAGACAGGGCCAGAGGCTTCGCCTTCGGGTGGCGCTGGGAGGAGCGGCCCAGAGATTCCTTTGACATTGCCAGCGGTAGCTCCCAAGAATACGGCGAGGTCCCAGACCTTCCTTTCTTCAGCAGTCTTCAGGCCCAGGGTCTTGTTGCCATCATTTGTTGCGCGATGTGAGCCAGTGGTGAAGCCCCCAAAGAAAAAGTGGGCCAAGGGCTCCCGTCCCTTGAAACCTGCCCCGGTCCTTCCCCCTCCCCGGGTAATCCTCACTGTTCCTGCCACCACTGTGGAAGTTGTGAGTCTGAACAGCAGTTTTAATGTGATTCAGCCTCTTAGACCTGTAGCTCAGAGCCCTCAGACCATCCCCATAACTACCCTCTTGGTCAGCCCCACATCCTTCATCTGTCCATTAAGCCAGCCCCTTATAGCCTCTTCTGTTCCACCTTTAATTATTTCTGGTAACCCTGTGAATCTCCCTGTGCCACCTACCCCTGAGGAAAATACACAGGTGAAACAAAATATTCCTTGTCCTCAGGCTGAAGGGGAAAGTGCCTTTCCAGTCATAGAACCCAAACTGGAACCCCGAGAATCATCTCCTCATTGTCCAAGTCCATACCCTAAAGAAGAACACAGCCCAGGGCCTCCCACACCAGGTAGTCAGGTAGACTCGTTTGAGGGGAATGCTCATAGCTGGACTGTTGTGAAGACACAGGATGGGAGGCAAGTCCTGGAGCCACTGTCTCGTACCTCTCAGAAAGCCATCGACTTTCTGCCAGAGAATTTACTGAACATTGTTAAAGTAGAGCCTGAGGACCCCGAGGAGGAAGCCAACTTGAATTGGAACAGGTTCCCTGAGCCAGACATTTGTGATGAAATAAAAAAGGAGGTCTTCATGGAGCTGGATGTGGGACCCCCATATGAGGAGGCAAGTAGTGCTCAAGAAGTGAAGAAAGAGGCAGATTTACCAAAGGAGGAGGAAGGTGAGACAGCAATGACATTCTCATCCCCCCAGGGGATTCAAAGTGAAGGGAACCCAGGAGGAAAGATGAGCAAAGGGTCTCCCAAGAATACTTCCTCTTCCACTAGTCCTGATACTGTACTTAGTAGTCCCCTGCGTAAGCCTAAAGACTCATCCAATGTTGTTGGCTTGACAGTGAGAACCCAAGCTGGTCCAGAAACGGGGGGTAAGAAGGCTAGGCCAGAAGAGGAGGAGAATCGTGACCACGATGAAGAAATGGCATCAGTCTCTGAAGAAGCTGTGCCCTTTGTCCCAGAACTTCAGGTGGGAGTTTGGGGTATAAACAGTATAAATGGAGGCTTAAATGTATGTTTAATGTATAATTATCTCTTGATTATCTTGGCATGGGTGTGGGGATGGGAGGGGTGGACGGATGGATGGATGGAGAATAATAGCTCAGATAACCTGAAAATAACTTTATTTGGCTCTGGAACATATTGTGTGGTTGTTGTCCCCTTCCCCCTCCCCCTTTATAGTATACTGAGAATGTTAAAAATTACTAAATGACTTAGTGGAAGGGAACTGGGCTTACATATTTTCTAGGGATCAGCTACTACAGAAGTGGTCTACATAGAGATAATTGAGTTTCCTGTGGATATAGTTACGGGGGGGGGGTGAGTGTGCATTGTCAGGAGAGCTGGACAAGTGAGAAGGGACAGTAATAGTTCAGGATGGCAGGATCCAAGAGATCATCAGGCCTGAACCCTTCAGTTTTTATGGATGATAGAACTGAGGTCAAGAGACTTGCTGAAGGTTACACAGGTAGTAGTAAAGTAATGTAGGTAATTAGGTAATATAGGTAATAGTAGTAGAGCTGGGAGTCAGACTCAGGTACTGACTCCAAAACTAGGGTACTGCCTTTCTGTTTCCTGGAGCAGATAATGCTAAAAATCTCTAGGAAAGAAAAACCATTGAGTGTTCATCTTGTCTCTCCTGTTACCTTTAAGCAGGCTGGCAGCTGCCCCACCCATCTTTTAATCATCCTCCTACGACCTAAATTATGAATCATGATTCACAGCCAGATAGTGGAGGTTTTTTCCCTACTGCTTAACATCATTTTCTGTTGTATTTGTAAATTTGGATCCTCAATGGATGGAGATATAAGCAATGATAAAAGGGGTTTTGTAGGAGACCGTGGAGAAGCCGACATATCTGGTGTCTGGGAGGTACGTGGGCCAAGAGAGTGATTCTGAGGAAGAGAAACCTCGGAAAGAGAATTCTGGTGCTGAGGTTGTGGTGAAAGCGGAGAAAATGGAAAGCCCGCAGAAAAATGATGAGGTGATGGATGAAGCGGATAGAGATCCATCCTTCCACCTTCGCTTCACTTAAGGTGGTCCCAGAAGTGGAGACTGAAAGGACTCCCAACCCAGGTGAGTTTGTTAGGTTCACCTTGAGGAGCTGTCCAGAAAGATTCACTGCTCTTCATCAGCCCCCACCAAGCACTGGAGAGAGAGCTCAGTTCCAAACTTGCTTGCATAATTTCCATTGAAATACCACTAGAAGTAAAGAATGTAACTTCTTTGAGGGCAAGGACCATGTCTTACACATTTCTTCTATTCATTAGAGGGCCTAGAACAGAACTGAGAACACAATAGGTGATTCTCAACAAATATTTATTGGTTGAACCTCATCAAATGCCAGTTTTGCATTTCCCCTACTCAGCTTCTTTATGCCAGTCCCTTACCATCTTCTTAAAGATGAAGCTCAGAAGTATCCACCTGTTACTATAAAGTCCTCTTTCCACCAAAACACAGAAAGAGATCCATGAGGCCTGAACACAAAGAAGAAATTGGAGTTGATTCAATTTGTTTGAAACCTGCTGCCCAGATTTTTTTTTTTTAAGTGAGGCTATTGGGGTTAAGTGATTTGCCCAGAGTCACACAGCTAGGAAGTGTTATATGTCTGAGGCCGAATTTGACTCCTGACTCCAGGACTGGTGCTCTATTCACTATGCCACCTAGCTGCCCCTGCTGCCCAGATCTTTGAGGGAATATATGTTCTTGCCAGTTGGCAATATGCTCAAGCTATGTCCCATGAATATATTGGCCAACAGGGCAGTTTTGTAGGTCTCTCTCTTTTCTTAGCTTTCACTGACTGCCATCTGTTGATTATGCTAAAGTTCAACCCCCTTGGAGGGGGGTGTGTATTATTATCACAGGGATTTTTTTTTTGTCCAAACCTGTGCTTTCATTAATGTAAGGAACTCCTAATGAGTTAATTGCTTCTTCTAGTAGAGGTCAACATCTGTCCTACAAATTAGTCTTAGCAGTATAGAGTCTGTATGTGTAAGAGGTGTGACTTGAATCCAGAGCTTCCTGAATCTGAGGCCAACTTTCCCACCTAGCAATTTTTCTTAAATCTAGTTTTTTTTTTCTGTCATCAAATAAAGCCAAAACTTTCAACTGTGCTTTTAGGGGAAAGCACCAAAGCTGTTGGACATCCAGAACTAGTGAAACCCTGTAGGGGCCATAAAGAACACCGTAAAGCTGCCCTTCCGGTACAGTGAGTGCATCCTAGAATGGAACTCCCCGAGGGAAAAGTACGTGGTGTGTTGTTCCAGTGGACCTAGCTAGCAAAAGACCACAGATGCCTATGGGACTTGCTTTGGACAGACTGTCTCTGTTTCCTGAATTGACCTACCTCTATTCAGATGGGCGCTCACCCAGCCAGTTCTCAGATTTGTTCTTGTGCCTTGATCTCACCTTGTATTCCCATATTTTTTTCTGTGTGTACATCTCGCAGCTGATCCAGGTAGTCCACAAATGGTGCTTACCCCACCATGTGTGATTGGCTAAACTTTATATAACCTGGTTAGCTTATCACTTTGTCGTTGGTTGTTAAACTTTTGCTTTAATTTGTTTGTTTGCATATAACTGCAAGGGCATGCCCTTATTTGAAAGATGCAGTTGAAACACTCTGTAATGTTATAAATTGACTGGTTCAACCTAGTGACTTTTGTTGACTCAAGCTGCTGGAAGTTTTATAAAAGTCTGCACTAGCAGACACCTCATTGTGTGCTTTTTAAACTGTATTGAGGCCAGAGGAGAATTCCCAATGCTGGGAATCCTAAACTGAAAGGGGCAACACTCCCATAGCTGTCATTGTTACATCTGCCATTCCTTGACCGAGCATTCTTCCAAAGCAGGTGGTTTATAATAGCCTACCAGTGTTATGGGGTTCTTGAGGTCAGGAGTGACTCTGGGTTTCAAATGCACGCGTTTCCTCTTAAATATCCTTGTCAATAAATTCCCTTTATCAACTTGGTAGTGAGTGTGGTTTTTTTACTTGTCTCATACTAGAATTAGAACACTATATTGTCACAGATTTGCACACCTAGAATTTGCCCAGGCTTACAGCATCAAAAACACTCACCTGGTGCTCTTGGCCCATCAAATCTAGGCCCTGAGTTTCTTCTTACTTATGGAATCCTGCTTCAGCTGCTGGGAGGAGATCCAGAGGAAGAAGTAATCATGGTATTGAGAGATCTTTCAATCTAATTAGGGATTCAACATGATGCTGCTTTAGACACAGATAAAAGACACATAAAATTGGTGTTGATTTTGAGATTTTTTTCTTTTTCCAGGACATCCATTTTGAAATATTCAGTAGGCAGTTGGTGACATGGGACTAGAGATCAGGAGAGAGAAGGAGGCTGAATATCACATTCAGAGATGATAAGTGAACCTTTGGGAGCTGACATGGTCATCAGATGAGAGTATTGAGAAAGAAAGCCTAGGAAAAGAGCCTTGGACTTGGTGGGTGCCATATGGATGGTGATGCAGTAAAGAAGACTGAGAAGGAGCAAGTTGGAGAAGAACCAAAAAAAGGGCAATGTCAAAGCCCAGAGAGGAGAATATCCAGTAGAAGCAGGTGGTGAATAATGTCATAAAGACACAAATAACTACAGGAAATAAAGAGAAATAAAGATGAAGATTAAGAAAAGGCCATTGGATTGGCAGTTGAGATGATTACTGACTGGAGAGGGCATATTCAGGTACGTTATGAGGTTGGAAGCAAGACTGTAGGGTTGAGAAATGAGAGGAAACATTGGAGCAATGAACGGAGGCAGTTTTGTAAGTTTGGTTAAGAAATGGACTAAATTATATTCCTGCTCAATTGATTTTGAATCATTAAGGACCAAGTGATTTTGAGAAGTGATTTTTTTTTTCTACTGGAATATATTAAATACCAACTGGACAGAAAGAGGAACTGGATAAGGAATTTGGGAAACAAATCGCAAGCCTGACATGGAACTACAATATAGTACATTGGTGAGAGAATCTCAATTATACAGACATCTGTGGGAGGACATTTCCGGAAAAAAAAATAGCTTAAGTTCTTCACTGGCCTTAGAAATAATTTCATCCTGGGGCAGCTAGGTGGCAAAATGGATAGAGCACCAGCCCTGGAAACAGGAGTCATTTGACCTGAGTTCAAATATGACCTCAGACACATAACACTCACTAACTGTGTGACTCTGGGCAAGTCACTTAATCCCAATTGCCTTACGTACGTACTGGCGCACATACACACACACACATAATAATTTCATCCTTTAAGAGACTACGGAACCAACAAGGGGAACTTCTTTTCTGTATACGATTCTCATTGACAGTGAGGAACTGATTACTGGGGCAGAATTAATAGAGGGAAGTGACTGTTTTCTTTGAGTATGTGTAAAAGGGGAGAGGATATCCAGGTGTATTCTGACATTCATGTACTCTAGATTTTGAGAAAGCGGGTTTCAAAAGTTCAGTGGAAAGATGGGTGGGATCTCGGGGATTAAAATTCTCTAAAGGGAAAGTCAGTCCATAAAATTCTGAAGACAAAGGGAAACAGTTTTAATGAGGAAGAAAACCAGAACATGTCTGAAGATGATGGGGATGCATCAACAAGGAACCAACATGAACCAACTTAAGATTTTTTTTTTTTAAGTACAGAAAATGGGAGCTAGGTTAAGTAACTGAGAATGGCTTCATAAGAGGGTTAGGAATGGCAAGCTTAAATGCGCTAAAGTTGGTGAGGGCAGTTATGGACAAGAAGTTTTTTTTTTTAAAGCAGTATTGGGAAAAAAGGAGATAAGATGACCGTTTCTTGGGGGTGAATGGGATGATGATCTTTGACCACAGAGAAGGCAAAGCTACTCCCATCTTAATTTTGCCTCTGTTCCCGCCCCCCCTCCCCCTCCCCCCCGCTAGGCAGAATGACTTCTGCACTGCAAATAGCAACAAAAATGGCTTAATAGCAGGGTGATGTCCTAGAAAAGTAAGAAAATAGCACCTAATTGCCCTTGTTTAACTATGTCCTTGGATGATAAGACTAGAGAAGTGCACATTTCCCTATTTTAAAAAAAAGGGTCAGTGTTGGAGAATGTCTTAAAACTACTGGACAATGCGTGTGATTTCAATTCCTGGGAAAATTCTATAAAGATCATGGAAAAGATGGTTAGTGAACATGTAGGAAGGGGAGCAGTGACCATAAAAGAGCCAGCATGGCTTCCAGACAGGTGGTGCCAGAATAACCTTATTTCCTTTGACAGGGTTATTACTAAACTGATAGGAGAGTAATGCTGGAGATATTTTAGCAAAGCTTTTGATACGATAATCTCACACTGTTCTTGTGGAGAGAGAGAGGTGTCCACTGATGAGATGGTTGGATTGAAAAGCCTAGTTTAGGGCTCAATACCAAGTGGCAGGAGGTCGCTAGTGGATTCCCCTGTTTGTGCTTTGCCCTGTGCTGTTTAACAGTGTTATTAATGACTTGGATAAAGGCATAGATAGCATGTTACTTAAATTTAAGATGAAACAAGCTGAAGTGGGGAGGGAGATAGGGAGCTGGGTGACAGAAACACAAAACAACTTGACACACTAGGGCTGAACAATAAATTATTTATAGAGGGGAGTTACCATTAACAGTTTGAAAAAAAAAGGAATGTGGTGACTCCAAGTTTAATATTAATCAGCAGTATGATGTGGCAGCCCTCTCAAAATGAATAAGATCTTGGACTTCATTAAGAGAAGCATCGTAGGAATAAGGAGGTGAAACTCTGACCATGCTTTGCTCATCAGACCATGTAAAATATTGTATTCAGTTCTGAGTGCCATAGTTTAAAAAGGATAAAGGTTAAGATGGAGAATGTCCAGAGAAAGTCAACCAGGATCGTAAAGGAACTTGAGTCCACGTTATATGGGGATGATTTGGAGGAGCTGGGGCTATTTAACGTGGCAGAACATAACAGTTTTCAGGCATCTGAAAGGCTGTCATATGAAAAAGGGATTAGACATGTTTTGTTTGGCTCCTTAGAACTAATACGGGAACAATGAGTAGAAGGTGCAGAGACAAATTTAGGCTCAGTGCCATGGAAAACTTTCCAAGAGTTAGAACAGTCCACAAGTGGAATGGGCTGCCTTAGAGGTGGTAGGTTCCACGTCCTTGGAGTCTTCAAGCAGAGGGTTCGATGACTATTTCCCCATTATGTTATAGTTGGGATTCCTTTCGCGTATGGATTGTTTTGGACTATACTCCCTTCGGCTCCCCAGTTCTATGGTTTGGTGACTACTCTTTCTTGAACCACTTGTGAATCCACCACACTCTACTGTAGTTTTCTCCTTATCTCTATGTTTTCCAGAATAAAAGCATGGAAGAACTGGACTCAGTGAAACACTTTGCTAAAATCTTGGCAAATTATATAGCATTTTCTGGATCAACTAGTCTAACTTTGACCAAAAACAGGCTAGTGGTATAACATACTGAAAGAAAAATGTTTTATTGATTCAATTTCTGGACTTACCCTCCCCGCACTGGATTTTTTTAAAGTGAAAAAATTAAGCAACCCCACCAGATAGAGTGACCACTTCCGGTAACATATACAACATTCTGATCAGTAGTCTTATCTCTGCTGTTAAAAGAGATATATTTCATTACCTGTTGCCTAACACCATCAACTTTGAATTATTCTGAAAAGAATTTGGCTTCCTTTTGGTGATCTTTTCCATTACATTTCTACAGTACTTCAGCACATATTCTCTTTTGGAGGTATTATTCTTGATTGGCTCTATTGTCATAAGGGTTTCTAGATATTAACTGGCCCTTGCTTTAATAATAAATTTGTGGAAATTTTGCCAAGAACCTAAGTTAAACTCACTGGTTTATAGACAGGCTCCATCCTCTTCTCTCTCCCCTAATCCCCTCTTAATAAAAAAAATTGCTTTCCCATTTCTAATTCTGTGGTACTTCTTCCATTCTCCAAGTTTCTCAGAGATTGCTAACATTCTCATCTCTCAGTTTAGTACTGTGAGGTTTAATTCATTTAAGTTTGAGTCAGGTTGACTTGGTTCCTCATGTGTCAGACGAGTTGGAGAAGGACATGGCAAACAACCCCAGTATCTTTGCCAAGAAAACTCCAAGTGGGATCACGAAGAGTTTAGGGACAGCTAGGTGGGTGCTGTGGATAGAGTGCCGGGCCTGGAGTCGGGAAGACTCATCTCCCACCCTTCAAATCTAGCCTCAGATACTTCCTAGCTGTGTGACCCTGGGCAAGTCACTTAACCCTGTTTCTCTTAGTTTGTCATCTGTCAAATGAGCTGGAGAAGGAGATGGCAGACCACTCCAGCATCTTTGCCAAAACAACAACAACAACTCCAAATGGGGTCACCAAGAGTTGGACGTCACTGAAACAACCTGAATGACAACAACAGGTGACTTAGACTCAGCTTAGAGCGGTTAGGTTCTTTTAACTCTCCTCTTCCTTAAACTGAGTATCACCTTCCTGTTCCTTCGTTTTGTTCTAGTTCAGAGGTCATTCCCCAGAGCAGAGAAAAAACAAGGTTATACTCGTTCTCTCTTTTCCCTTCTCTCCATCACCTGTAATCCCCATAACAAGCCACTCACCCTCACCCCTCACCTCTCGTTTCTTCTTTCTCTTAACCCTCATTATGGTCCCAAGCTTTCCTTCTGTCCTTGGCTCCTGGGAACTTGGACGCGGGTGGAGGTGAGATGGTAGGCATTGCACAGGAAGGACCCCCAACTAACTGTTCAGATGACTGGAAGCAATGGTATGGACCTTCCGGTGGTCACTTCAGAGACTGTGTGGGCTGGAGGAGGCCTGATGGGCCACCCGTCTGTTCTCAGGTGAGAAGCTGGCGGCTCAAGGAGCCTGGGTCCCTACAAGGCACCATGGGGGCAACAAAAACATTCGGCGGGCTGCCCTTGGTCATCTATTCCCACTTGCAGTATGAAGGGGCAGGGCTCACCCTCCAGGGG